TGCATATGCCGGCCTGGATATTCGAGAAATCACATTAAATAATAATATGCGCTCTACGGCAGGATTCGAAACTACGACGACCGACGTTTTATATATATATATATATATATATATATATATATATATGAATGTATGTATGTATTGATGGTGGTATGACCTCTTTCCCAATAACCCATTCTATCAATCTTTACATCTAACGATGTAAATTACTTTGTATAATATGCTTGAATGTTAAATGCCTCAAGCACTTCGATGACAGTCGCTTGCGTACGTGTTTGGAGGCCTACGAGTTCGCATTCACACACACCCGCACACACAGGTGCAAGTACACCCGAACGCACACACATACAACACAGACACAGATGAGTGATACAAAAGATATGGTAGATGTCAACATAATGAGATAGATAGATAGATAGATAGATAGATAGATAGATGATGTGAGCATAATACATCTTATCCAAAATTAGAAAAATACATGGAACCTTAAAGTGGTCTGTTTTTCTTTAAATTATTAGCTCTGGATTTACATTGAGCTCTCAGGATTTCATCCTCCTTGGGACTACCCATACGGATTACCAAGTTTTTCGTAAAAGCTTAACTATATATATATATATATATATATATATATATATATATATATATATATATATATATATATAATTCCCGTTTAAATTTTTAGGAAGACTCAGAGTTTCATGGCCTTCCTTATCATCAGGTACAAAAAGTTATTTATTATTCAGTACGGTTGTAATTTCTGGTTTTTTTTGGGAGCAACGCTACATTATATGTGGATTCAAAGTTTGAGATTATTATAAATATAATATAGTATTGGGCTATAAATTCAAATTATAGAATGTTCTCAGGTAGATATCGAAAAATAAACTAAGTTATTAAAAGTAATTTTAATAGAGATATTGATCCGTTAATGTGGATTGAGTTAACCGATAAGATTATTGTAATCCAAACTAAAAAGAAAAGTTGGTAGTTAGCAAATAAAAAAAAAACGTGGGTAGGCAAAACAAGGATATAGGATAAAGAAAAGTAAAAAAAATATAAACAATAATAAAAAATAATAAAAACAAATTTTAAAAAATTCCCTCACATATAAGGTTGAATGTATCTCTTTATTTAGATCACTTCTATATATATATATATATATATATATATATATATATATATATATATATATATATATATATATATCATTATGTATCTATATATATATATATATATATATATATATATTCATGTGGATGGGGTGGAATAAAAAACGAAATGAAAACTTATCTTTCGACGCGTTTCGTCGAAACCCTTCTATATTGGACATAACTTTTTTTTTTCTTTATTCCAATTATCCTTTTAAAGATATATATTCTATATAATTTTTCACACATATATCATATATATATATATATATATATATATATATATATATATATATATATATATATATATATATTTTAAAGAAAAAACAGACCACTTTAAAGTTCCATTATAATAATTTATTTCACCAGAGCCCTTTTAAAGGATGCCGGATCATCAGATAGCGCTTCCAAAAAATGAAACGAAAAATGAAATGAAAATTGATGGGTAGTGTAAGTTTTTGTAATTTAACAGAGAGTGTAATAAGGAGTGGTTAGAGAGACATGGTAGAGTTTAGGGAGGGTTGAATTTAATATTTCTCTCAATCATACTTAGTATTGGGGGAGGAAGAGTGACCAGACCTTTTATATGTTTTTGTAATTTAACAGAGAGTGTAATAATAATAATAATAATAATATATATATATATATATATATATATATATATATATAGAGAGAGAGAGAGAGAAGAGAGAGAGAGAGAGAGGGGGGAAATAGAAATAGTGTAGATATAGAAATCAGCAGTCGAAGAAGCAACATTAAGATCATCTGTCACTACCTCTTGCTCGTCTTCTATCAACCTATTATCGGTCCTGATCTCACATCTCCGTTTCAGTCATTTTCGCATCGTCGTAACGTAGCTTTCCTGTGCCGTTTCTATAAATACTTTCATGGTAATTTTTTGATGAGATTTCAAGCAAGGTGATAAAGCCACCGAGACGCAAAGGGGTTACAGAGAGTGATAGAAAGTCAGGAAAAGTTACTGAGCAACATTCCACAAGCGAGAAATGCGAGATTAATATATTACGGCAGTTTATAAGCAGTTACCGTTTGGTATTCAAATAAAATAGTTAGACAAAATGGCGCGTGTTATTGTGATGACAACCTAATTAAACAAGGTCTTCTATAGTTACGGTGGGTATAGTAGGTGTTTCTAGTATGCAGTAACCCTTTCTAGGTTACAACAATAACCCACGTCCTGAAGGGACACATAGAAGAACAATGAGTTCTGTATAGATATATTTTACTTTTAGTGTATTTCTGTTGAATATTTTACGAAATTTACTGAATTTTGGAAAGTATTTGTCAATAAGTTCGTAGGAAATTCTGTCGTCCAGGTTTTTTTTAATTCGAACATCCAAATTCCAAATAAAAGTAAAGAAAAGTAAGTCTCATGCCTGTTAAATAAATCATTTGTATTTACAAACATATGTACATCAATTCAAAAGAGTAAAAATGATTAAAAATAAACTTTAGTTGAGTTAACGTTTTGGGATATTTTTTTTTTTTTTTTTACCAGAAAAAGCTATAGTTTAGAAAAAAAATATTGGACCACAGAAAAAATCTGTGATTTAGAAAGGATTTTTATCGTTAGCGAAGATTCACTGACCATCTTTGTTGTTGTTGTAACACGTTCATTTGAAGCTGCCGACACATGTTTCTTTTAGCATGCGCTGAGGTGAGAGATGACGATGGAGCCATTTCTTTTCTCGTGTTCAGCTTGTATCTCCGCTCTTGGTCTTGAAAAATTCCCGGATGATGCATAGCTGAGTTTGTTTATACTTTTGCGTCTTTTCATATCCAGGAGAATATCACGTCGGCGATCGGTCACCAAATGTTTTGGGACACCTCTTTTGTTGCAAAGTCTGGACGTTTTTTTTTTATTTAATAAACATTAATAGTACTTTTGCCCCGCAAACACTATTTGGCGGACTCATGTGAGTACGGGCAAAACAAGCCACAAAACATGGAATTCAAGCAAACAATTAATGCATGTATTAACAAGAAATTACATTAATGTGTACACAGCTGAAAGGAAAGAAAACAAAAAAAAACCATTATAAACTTCGAATAACTAAGTATGTTTGTGTGTGTGAAACAAGCGTGTATGATTTCAATCGTAAGTGAAGTGGGGAAAAGAACTTTTCCCAGTAGGGATCCCTTTAGTTACATTCTCTTACATTTTGAAGCAAGAGGAAATATTTGTCTTTTTATAGAACTTAAACGACTCCACATAACGGATGTTTTGACAAATGAGGTAACACACAAGTCTCATGAACAGTTTTCAGAATACGTCTGTCTATATTTCTGAGATGAGGTATTGTAACTATTTACACTATTTACTTTGTTAGGACTGTTGTCCTCATCTTCACTGATATATTCACGACGTTTCGGCCATTGTACGCTCCGGCCTTCTTCAGGATCTGTCTATATTTGTGAGATGAGGTATTGTAACTATTTACACTATTTACATCATTCAGACCGTTGTCCTCATCTTTATTGTCATATTCACGACGTTTCTCCAGGTCACATTTGTTGGAATTTCGAACCAATGACTCTCCAAGTTATTCTTCTCTACGCCGAGGACAGGGATTGAACTCACAAATCTTTGGGTCAAATCACTTTTTGGATCTGTCAACACACACTTTTTATCCACACGTGTCCTTGAATGAATTTTTGAAACTTATGAACCTAATGTCTCAGTAATAATTTTTTTTTTTACCGGAGCTCATATTACTTTTCTTTTTAACGTAAAATTTCGGGCAACAAGTCGAATAATGTAATTAGTATAAACAGTTTTTGGAGGCTTGCAAATTTTTATTATATAATGAGCTGATCCATATATAATGATCTGATCCATATATAATGAGCTGATCCATATAATGCTTCTATTTCTGTTGGGTGCTTTGCTATGCCTTTTACCACAACTTCATATTCGATTTTTGGCTTTGTTGAACTTTTTTCGTTTGAGGAATTGTTGGATAATCTATGAATGAGGAATGGTGGCTTGATGATTGGAAGAAATTTGAAATACAGGGGCTTGCTGTTTTGTTTCCGGAACTCTTGGTATATACCTTTCAGGAGGTTGAAAGTTACATAGTTTTCTTATTAACTAGCCTAGAAGCCGCCCTTCGAGCGAACTTTAGGCTATCTCCTGCGAAAGTCTTTTCGGCCTTCGGCCTTTTACCTTCAGCATCTTATGTGCATAAATATTATAAGAGTTTAGAAATAACAAAATTATTTTATCTTTATTCAACACCTTAATTCAGCAAAATCTTTCTTCGTATACGCAACCAATCTCCATAGTTTGTTTATATTTATTTTGCGCTCAATTTTTATTTTCTTTGAAAATCCCAATTCTTTATGATCCCTTCACTTAAAATCACTCTTAAAAGACATTAGAGAACCAGAACTATGTAATATTTGGAATGTGTCACAGTGCGTGTGCTAGAAAAAAATTACACGAGCAACGTACCGTGCCCCGTTTAAGTTTAATTACGATTTAATTAGACGATATCAATTGCAATTGCGACAAAAAGAAAAATTAAACTTAAATCTTTAATAAAGAATTGTTTTTAAACCTTTTACCCTGTTCGATATTCAAATTTAACTTAAAATGAGTTTATTTAATTTTTAGTCACGTGTAACTACAGTAGATACTTCAGGTTGTTTATGATTAGACCAAATTGAAAAGCGGATGGACGGACACACTTGCACTGCTCTTTATATAGATTTCTTTGAAAATATTTATAATTTTCTGTTTTTATCCAACTTTTGCCTGCTTCAGTTACTCTACACAGGCGTATATCCCTTATTAATTATCTCAGCTAGGGTGTGTAAGATAAATATTCCAACATGTTCTCTCGTCTGTTTTAGCGAAGTGGAAAACCTTCGCAGTTTCAAATCTTTTTATTTGTACTCCCTTACTTCTTAAAATAATGACCTACATTCAGATTTATGATTGTTATTGTAATATTTTTTTTAAAGTTGTTAATCTCAAATAATTAACCAGGTAATAGGAGGATTTCCAATGGTATTCTACAGACGGAAAACTCGCGATTAGCTTATTAAAACATTAACCTAAGAAAATTCGTGTTGGGGTGTAATGGATAGGGGGTGGGGTTGGAATAAAAATTTTTTAAAAAAGCCAAGTTGCCCTTACGTGCAAATAACCTTGGGAAACGTATGAATTGATCTTTTCTTCCCCCAAGCTATAGATTAAATAGTAGGACGGGTATTGTTATTATAAATAAAATACTTAATGCAATATTCACTCATAAGAAAAGAATTATTTTTACCAAGCAAAACAGGTTTTAGCTTTCGTTTTCCGATAAGTACCTGGCTTCACCAATTATCCACTCCCTTTACAAGAGCCAAATCAAACTGAAAATGGTATACTGCTGCCATATATGGACAGGAATAGCCTAGACCTCACCTTCCAGTTTCGATAAGCGTCCAAAAGCGTCTCTGCGTCCTTGTGGGTGATGAATTATTTTCTAACTTACAACCCGTTTCTCACAGACGAAACATCACCAGCCTCCCACTGCCCGATCGCTATTTCCATGGAAAGTGCTCAGATGAGCTACATTCCTTAGTCCCACTAGGTCTAATCTTCACGGCTAACACCCGTCATCTGACGCCCATTGTAGCAAACCACCGTCATTCCCTTCGTATTCCATTGGTGAAAGGTATATTCCACTCGAACAGCTTCTTCCCACGAACCGTTGCTTTGTGGAACCGACTCCCAAGAGGATGCTTCCCGATCACTAGAGTATTAACCTGTTCATTTTTTTATGTTTTTATATGTTATTTTCACATTATCATAGAGGGGAATAGAATTTTTCCTATTAACGAACGCAGGGCCCTTTTCGATGAAACGTTTATAGACACGTTGCAGCTGGTGGATGTATAAATGTGCATTTAATGTTTCATTAATAACTCTAAATGAATAATGACAACTGCTGTTCTGTGGAACCGACTCCCAAGAATAAACTACTCCAATCAATACAATTTTAACCAGTTCAAGTCTAGGCTTAATCGCATAAGCAGTATTTCTTACTAACACTCTACCTCGAGTGGCTCCCGGATCTTGTGCAAGGGGAAAATCACTGTAAAAAAGCGTGAAATTTTTTGCGGGTATTTCTTGTGATCATAAGTTGGATAAACGAGAGTTAACTGCAGTTGGCTAAAAGTTTCCTCTTTCTCAGTCCGTATATCTATTACCATAGGTGTCGAACATACTTGCGAAAGACCTGCAATCATAGTTTCGAGGTCACGCACCACGTACGGAAATAGCGTGACGTCATTAATCATAGCCTCCCTTTCCTTCTCTCCATCCCATCTCCCTCCTCTCTCTCTCTCTCTCTCTCTATCTCTTCCTCTCTTTCTTTCTTTGTGCCTCTCTCTGAAGCGGTGTTTCGTTTTAAAAATATACCCTGGTTGCTATAATGTAGCTATGGGTCATTTTCCAGGACTAGTGCGATAGGATGGCGGACAAGTGCTTCTGCTCAGCGCAAACTCTCGTGGGGACGAGAAGAAAACTACACGTCAGATGTGAATAAAAGAGTAAAGTCATCTTGGGTCTTTCGCCGCCGCCTCTGCTCACAGAATGATCGTTTATAAAGATGTCCTGACTTCTTTACCATCTTTCTCACACAGTAGCACACATATTCGGGGTGGGGGTGTTTAATCACTGTTAATTTCTCTTCTTTCGTTTTCTTATCTGTTTCTTGCTTCCTTTCGATACGAGACATTTTTTGAAAGTCATTTTTAGATCTCGTCTCTCCCTACTTTACACGCGCATTCACCTACCTTCTCATTATTAAACGAGTTCATAGGATTACCCATGATGCCTCACTTTCTCCTTTCATCTTCTTTCTTACTCAGATGAGATATTTATTTTTATCTCTAGCCTAGTTCTTTATCTCCTTATTTAATTATTCATTTCCTATCTATCTATCTATCTATCTATCTATCTATCTATCTATCTATCTATCTATCTATCTATCTATCTATCTATCTCAGTCTGTTCCTATCTACCTATCTTACTCTATTTATTATTTATCTATCAATCCATCTATTTTTAGTCCATATCTCTCTATCTATCTATCTATCTATCTATCTATCTATCTATCTATCTATCTCAGTCTGTTCATATCTATCTCTCTTACTCTATTCATTATCTATCTATCTATGTATCTATCTATCTATTTTTAGTACATATCTATCTATATGTCTGTCTGTCTATCTATCTATTTTCTAATGTAATGGATTTTATTTATCAAACCGAGAGATTTTTATTACTTCAAACCTTATTTTAGTGGATACTCATATTTCAGTAGACGCTCCATTTATTCATTGAACAGTATATTTATTTCTTTTTGTCTACCGGCCTGAATATTCGAGAATTCTTTTTAAAGAAAAATATCCCAGCGACCTCAAGATTTTTCTTTAAATATTCAGGCGGTAGACGAAAATAATAAATATACATTTTGATAAATAAATGGGGCGTCTACACAAATATAAAAAAAAAATCAGGACCTGTCATGGGATTCTACCTCAGTGCCTTTAGACTACGTAGCCCAGACTGCGTAGGCCAAGAAGAGAAATACATTAAAAAAAAACCAAAAAAACATTTAAACTTCTTCAATGTCTGCAACATTTCATCCTCAACTCTAAAAACGGAGCATAAAAAATCCACAAATCCCAAAAACTTAGACACCGCCGATTGCAATTCCAATATTAACAACACGAAACTCATAATCCTACCTTCTAACACACTATTTACAAAATTTGAAAATAAATTAGTTATTCCCAACACTAGGGTGTTTAACAGCACCTTCAATTAGGCCAAAAAAAGATCCAACACCTCTTCAGATGCCGGAATTTATCAGAAAAAGTGACTGCAATGGAGATACACTTATATTGGAGAGACGTCGCGAAGTCTAAAAGCTCGCATCTATGAGTACAACAGGGACCTAAGGTTGAGACAACTTTTTAAAATCACTTGTAATACGTAGGAACAAGACTGAACATAACTTTGAATATATTTACCTGGCAAATGTCCGGTAGGCTTTTATCATCTCTCAGATGCATCATTGTTTTCGGATAGAGTGCGATTTAGCTAAGAAAAATAAATTACGGTGAGGTGCCTGGTCCCGAAAACAGATGCTTGTGGCTGTATCCCCTCGTCGTTGTCATACCGATACCAGCGCAACTTACGGTTGCGAGGCTGGCCAATTTTGGACCCAGCCCCAAGTATATGCACACGGGGTCACCACATTAAACCCAACTCATCACGTCTCAGTTTTGAGTTCAGATAAATAATGCATTGATTTTACAAATGACATAAGAAAGGACATAATTCTTTACGTCGAAAATTTTCCATGAAAATAGCCATAGATTTTTGTCTGTGTTGTCGGATGGAAAATAATTCATCACCCATCATCAAAACTGCTATGACATTATCCTGCGTATGGCGATAAACTTTATCCGCTAGCAATGCCTCTGATTGGGAGTTTTTAAGGAATGTAGAGCCATCCCTTAATTACTGTTGTTCCCAGGTCCACCCTGATCCAGAGTGGTAGCACTTGTCAGGATCGAAACTATGGGCAAACCTTCAAACTGAAAATATAAAAATACGTAGATGATGCGTATGCACCCCTAAGGAACCTACGTCACCTCTCCTTTCTTCTAATGGGACTTTTAGTCCTCATGTATATGCGTGAGCTTGCCTTGGTACCCTAGGGTCTCTGGCCTGTACAATGTTTCTGACCCAAGGAGAAGTTCTGTTACCCTGACCTTTAGGCGGACTTGAGTAAAATGGATGTAATCTAGAAATCTGGTTTACCAGACAACCGCAAGCAAAGATTCTTTCGAACCACCGTAGAGGCCGAGTTAATGTATCGTGCCACTGCTTGGATATTAACTAAAACTAAGATTGAATGAACCTATACTCAAATGCTGAGAGCTATACTTAACATTACTTGGAGACAATGTCCAACAAAATCACAGCTCTATGGACCCATCTCTGATATTTCTACAATCTTAAACCCTGGAGTCTAAGCATGATGCAACCTACACTCGGATGCTGAGAGCTATACTTAACATCTCTTGGAGACAAAATCCAATTAAATCACAGCTCTATGGACCCATCTCTGATATTTCTACAATCTTAAACCCTGGAGTCTAAGCATGATGCAACCTACACTCGGATGCTGAGAGCTATACTGAGAAATCACAGCTATCTCTGATATTTCTACAATCTTAAACCCTGAGTCTAAGCATGATGCAATCTCTTTGAGACAAAATCCAATTAAATCACAGCTCTATGGACCCATCTCTGATATTTCTACAATCTTAAACCCTGGAGTCTAAGCATGATGCAACCTACACTCGGATGCTGAGAGCTATACTTACAATCTCTTTGAGACAAAATCCAATTAAATCACAGCTCTATGGACCCATCTCTGATATTTCTACAATCTTAAACCCTGGAGTCTAAGCATGATGCAACCTACACTCGGATGCTGAGAGCTATACTTAACATCTCTTGGAGACAAAATCCAATTAAATCACAGCTCTATGGACCCATCTCTGATATTTCTACAATGTGACGCGAACACAGATTGCGCTTTGCACTACACTGCTGGCAAATCAAGAACTAACGAGAGATCTACTGCTCTGGACATGCAGCCATGGAACAAAACGGACCTATATTGTCCAACTATGTTAGGACACAGAATGCCTCCCTAATGACCTTCTGACCATGATGCTGGACCGTGATGTTTGGCGGGATAGGATGTCCAAGTAAGTTCAACCGAATAAAATAATAATGTTTTCTTGGTATGTTTTTTTCTTCCTTTGTGGTCCGTTGGTATAGCACCACCTAAGTTCTGGCAGAATTTCTTTTTTTCTTATTTATAATTAGCACATCGTCCTACCACTCTTGGTTAAATACAACGATTGACTGGGATATCTTAACTTGGGTGACAGCCATTTTAGGTGAAAGAAATTTTTAAATGTCTAGATTATTTAGCCTGGGTAGGAACATCAATCGAGAATGAAAAATCTGAATCCAAAACTAATTTGAAGAGTAATGGGCACCTCTCTGGTTGTTTTGCCTTAGACGCACCCACTACAGCTACAGCTGCAGTACATAATGTGCTCCTACGTTCCTTATCGATTATGAGACTTCTGATTTTACGATTTGTACCTTCATTTATGGCTTTAAAAAAAAACCGTTCTCGTACTATCACCCAGGTTAAGCTATGTCAAACCTGGTTAGTACCAGATGGGTGACTGTTTTGGAATACCAGGTGCTAAAAGATTGGCTGTGCAGATGTGTAATGAATAACGTCTCATAATTGGGCCCCGATTTCCTTTCGAGTTTGTTATATTCATTTACACGCAAATACCCCTGGGAAATGTATGAATCCACTTCTTTCCGCCTACCTATGGGTTAATTAGTAAAACTTGTATCCCTATTGTTATCTCAAAAAATTCTTAAAATCTTAATATTGTTTCTGGCTTCAAATAACCTGCAAAGGGTTGATAAGATGTAAAAACCAAATCAATCTATAGAATTGCATCTCTGTTGCCTTCAGTCTCTTCATCTGTGAGGAGACTGTCCAGCATTTATTACCAAACAGTCAACCATCTAGGCACTAGGCATTGCTTAACTTCAACGTGATGCGGCCGTATGTGTTAATCAGTATGATTTGTATCAGTAAATCATTATCTCCAAAAAGATTAATACACTCTAAAAGCAATCTGGCTTTAAATAACATGCAAAAGGTTGTTAAGCCGTAAAAAATGAAGGAAATCAAGCAATTTATATAATAACCATCTAGCTATTCTAGTTCTCATTATAATCAAAGACAAGTTTAATATTTGGAGAAAATTTTGCATCAGAATAAAATATATTTAATTGAAGAGTAACAGGCTAACGAGGTTGTGCCGTGGTGCAGTGGTTAGCGTAGGGGTTCGCAACCATTTTTCTTCATCCTCCAATTTCACAAGGAAAAAGATTTCTACGACCTATCTGTATAGGAAATGTTCAAAATATATCAAAATTGTTTGGTAAAAGTTTGTTACTGGTTCATAAATTGATTTTATGATGTAGCAAAAAATACCAAAGGGAGGTAACAAATGACGCTGACGTATGCGGCTGCTGCTACCGTATTAAAGAACAAATGAAAGCAAGCTTAACCATTGAAAACTGTATACATAATTTCGTTTTATTGTTAGGGTGACCGCTGCAAGTGTTGAAAAAACTTAAACTATTTTTGTTCATAATTATAAAATTAAAAAGAATATAGACTATGAGCAACTAAAAAAAATTCAATGAATACATTTGTTGTACATGGTCTTCCCTTGTGTAATTTATATCCGAAAAAAATATATTAATTCTGAAATATTATTTGGATGTTAACAACTCTTCTCAAAACTATAGAAAATACCAAAATATTCTTTGCTTGCGGGGGTATTTATATCTTATCTAGGAATGTGACCCAGTAATTTCCTTTTAGCTCCCACTTCCGGTTCTTCGCATATCTCTTTTGAATATGCTTTTCGTATATCATATGTTGAAATACTTGTTTAATACTAAAAATTCTATATCTTCTACCAAAAATTCCAATCACCTAGTATTTTCTGTTAGGTTGCTCATCGCCCACCCAACAGTTGAAATAGGCCACCGGTGGGCGATATCGCCCCAGTTGGGAAACCCTGGGTTAGCGGTTCGGAACAAAAAATCGGCTAGCCGAGTTCGAATCCCAGATAAGTTCAATACATTCACTTTCGCGCAAATCCACTTAAGAAATGAATGAATTCATCTGTTATCCCCTAATCTATGGGTTAAAAAGGGCAAAATACTCAAACCCGGGTAGATTAACTCGTTAGCGTTGGAACACGTAATCGTCTACGGAGAGGAAAGTCAACGCTTCCATAGAGTACAGAGGTCGGGCAATCAACGAAACCCATGAAAGAATTCGATTACAGAAACCCCACCAGAGGCCCTTATGTGACACAGAAATTGAGATCAGTTATGGATTAACGAAGTGACTCTCTTCGAAAGTCATTACCGTATTTGTCTTTATTTAAGACGGGCTTTTTTTTTTTAAAAAGTACCAAAAAATTACCCTGCGTCTAATACAGCCTTATTACGGATGAGAGACGACGAGTGTTGTAGTTGCAGGGTAGGGTGTCATATAAAAATTGGGCTTAGTAAGAAAATATTAAAAACAAGCCAAATTATTACAG